TTTTCTCCGGGGTCCCCCCTTCCACCCCCCCCTGGCAACCCCTAAATCCACTTTCCATCTTCCTTATAGATTGCCTGGCTCTGGACTTCCCATAGAATGGAATCATAACATGTGAGGGCTTTTGCCGACTGGATTCTTTCATTTAAACATAATATTTCCAAGGTCCACTCGTGTTGCAGCATGTACCGGCTCTATTGTTTCTTTTTGAGCCACTTTGTAGCTATCCAGCCACCACACATTTTATTGGGCCCGCTCATCGGCTGGTGATATTTGGGTTATTTCCGCTTTGGGGCTATCAGGAACAATGCTGTACGAACGTTTGTATACAAGCCTTTGTGTGTGACAGATGTCTTCATTCTCTTGGGTGTATACCTAGGGAGAAGAAATGCTGGCTCATATGGCAACCTGTGTTTAACCAGCCAAGGAACTGCCGGCACGGTTTCCCAAAGCATCTGCACGGTTTCGTCGCCCACCAGCAGTGAATGAGACACGGGGTTGTTCTTACGAGGCTTCCTGGGGCGATGTTTATAAAGCTCCAGTATGGTGTTTGGCAAGCAGTCAAAGGAAGAGTAGTCCCCCTGTCCTTTGTCATCTTAATAACAGTGTCCTTAACACTTCTAACTTTTCTGACACTTAACTAAACCACTTGCCTGATCTATGTTCTGAATCCGGGACAGAATGCCTCCTCTCTCCAGTTTATTACACATTTGCATAGTGATGGTTCTTTTTTGTTGTTGTTTTTAGAACAGAGCACTCTATTGCCTGGGCTAGAGTGAGTGCCGTGGCATCAGCCTAGCCCAATCCTCCTGCATCAGCCCCCGAGTAGCTGGGACTACAGGCATGCACCACCATGCCTGCCTAATTTTTTTCTATATATTTTTACTTGGTCATTCATTTCTTTGTATTTTTAGTAGAGGACGGGGGGGGGGGTCTCACTCTTGCTCAGGCTGGTTGAGAAAGCATGTAGCACAGATGCCGTACCACGTAAGCAAGCCAACGTGAGCTGTTGCTCTCACGGTCAACACCTTGTTGGCATC